GAAATCAGTACTTTAAAAACAGATGTAGAAAATAAAGCAAAGTGTTCAAAGATCCTCGGCTTAGCCGAGAAAAATTATCAGCCATTCCAGAATTCAGAAGACCTCATCTTCAGATTTCTGGGGGGGCAGAGGGAAATAGAGAAATGGCACAACTGATCTAATACCCTTCAGCTGATCTAATACCCTTCAGCTCAGCCGAAGTTTGATACTTATGTCAGTTTTTTCACAAGTTGAAAACATCCGAGTACAAACGGCAAAAAGAAGTCTCAGCAGAAATGATTCTCGCTAGCCGAAGTTCTGCACTTAGCAAATATTTGAAAGATCATTCAAAGAAAGCAGTAAAGTGCGAAGACTGGTAAAGCGAAGAGAAAAAAAATACACGAGAAAGCTGAGAAAGTGAACTACTTTGAAATAAAAATGTTGAATTACAAAAATAGTCGGCAGCCGCCCACAAGCGGAAAGTAACAGCTGCCGAAATACGTACAGGCAAAATAAAAATATAATAAGCTGTTGTACGATAAGGCAAGCTGAAGCAAAAAAAAACAAAAGGCAAAAATTCAGAAAGCGGCAAGTCTAAAGTTGAGCGCATGATGAACCGCAAGATTCTGAAGACGACTGCCCGAGTTCCTATGCTTCAGCCTGAGGATCAGACTGATCAGCTTCATTGGGCCCAATGGTGGTCTCAGCTCCAGCAGCAGAAGAAGCAGGCTTTGCACTCTGCCGAGCCTCCCTTTCCCTCTGCTCAGCCTCCAACTCCATCCTCTCAGCTTCTTCCTCGGCTTCCTCAGCCTTAAGGATTTCAGCTTCGATTGGAGTGGCATACTTCATGTGAGGGTCTTCGGGATCTTGGACCCATTCAGCACATTTGGACCAGTCCAGCTTCGGCTCAGCATGAAGGCAGACCCTTCGGCACACTCTGAACCCGTTTCTAAAACCCATTTCATACTCTTCTTGGGTATAGATACGGACTTTGAGTAGAGCCTCAGCATCGGCCAACTTCTTCTTCGTCTCCTCCAAGTCTTCCTCGGATCTCTTCAGCTCATCGACGAGCTTGGAGGAGGAGCCTTTCAGCTCGGTAAACTCTTGCTGAACCTGGGAAGCCTCGGCCTGAACTTGGACCATTTCTTCCTTCTTGGCAGTGAGCTGATCCTCAGCCTCTTGTAGCTTAGCTCTTTGAGCTTCAGCAGCAGCAGCAGCCCTTGAGAGTTGGACATCCCTAGCTTGGAGCATCTCTTCAGCAGCCATTCTGCTGGCTTCAAGAGATTCTAGCTGATGCTGCACCTCAGCCTGTGCAGCAGCTCCTTGGATTCGGCTCTCGATAGCAGCCTTGAACTTGGAGATGTCCACCCCCAGGTGCTCTTGGAGGAATTTTTCCCCTTCCATCAGTGGGGGAAAAACCTCCATCTCCATAGCATCACAGAAGGTTTTCAGAGCTTCGGCAGCTTTTTTACCGTACTCCTCAACCTCCTGCTGCTTCTCTTCAGCTGCTGCTTGCTTCAGCTTAGCAAGCTTAACTTCCTCTTCAGCCACCTTCCTTTCGTGCACAGCAGCGTCTACCCTATCTTGTAGGGTATCAATCAGCTCTACAGTGAGAGTCTGATTGTGCACGAACTGAAAACAGGGGCACAAGTTAAAAAAGTAAAAAATAATAGCTGAAAGGTTGAGTTCAGAAAGAAATCAAGGCAAGGAGAATTACCTGCATCATCAGCAGTTGGTTAGACCTGGCTGGGTCAGGAACTGATCTGCTGGATTCGCCCATCCCAGCAGTGGCCTTCAGCGACCAGATCCTTGCCCTGTCTACTTCGGACATGCCAGCAAAATTGCCGAAGTAGGCTGCAGCTCCTTCTCGGTTTTGACCCCATATGAGGTCCCAGATGTGATCTGGGATTGGAATTCGGGGGGCCGAGAAACCCCTTTCTCCAGAATGCAGAGTCTGGAAAGAAGGGAAGGACGACGATGGAGCTTGATTAGCTTTGGTTGTCTCAGCATCGTCCTTCTCAGAGGAGTCAAGTACTATGACCTCCTCTTCTTCAGGGGTGAGGACGAAAGCCTCAACCTCTCTTGCGATATCTGCCGTGAAGCCCTCAGCACTGGACATCACGGCATCTTTATTTTCGTGCTCAGCAGCACTCTTCTTGATTTCTTCTTGGACCCCTCCCTTAGGTTCGGGAGTTCTCTGATCCACCTCCATCTCAGGAGGTGGCGGAGGGGTCTTTTGAGGAGATTGGGGTGTTGGCTGGGGAACCCTCGGCGATCCATTGCCTTCCTCAGGTTCCCTTATTGCGACGCCGATGGTCATCGGCCTCTGCTGAAAGTCATGAGGGCCGATGATGGCCATCCTTCGGCGCCTTTTCAGAAGGGGCTGCTCGTCCATATCTGAGTCTGAAGACTCTTGTATTTGATCTTCGGGACGAACAGGAGCTTTGCCTTCTCTGTGTCTGTTACTCTCTTCAGACTGTAACAGACAGGGGGGAAGATGAGTGTGAGTAAAAAAAAAAAAAGAAGAAAGACAAAGTTAAGTCTAAAGGCTCACCGAGGTCTTCAGCAAAGCCTCGTCTTCTTCAGCTGCCCTAGCCGCAGCTTCTTCAGCAACTCTGGAGGACCCTTCTCCACCTTCACAAGCTTCAATAACCCGTGCAACCTCTTCGGCTGTACGGGCAGCTTCAGCTTCTTCTTCCAGCAGCTGAAACAAGGGATCTCTCTTCTTCCACCAAGGCTTCTGCCTCTGATACAGAGCAACAGCCTCAATTTGGAAGTGGGAAGAGTCTAGGTGAACCTCTCGGCGCCTTGGTTCAGTGATAGGGGGAGCCCGATCAGTTACGACTCGTTCTCGGTTGACGCCAAGGCGAGCGTAATCAATGCCGACGTTGGTCTCGTCCCGTTCTGAAAAAGAAAAGGGGAGAAGTCAATTCAGTTAGTTCGGCACATCACAAGAAAGCAAAATGAAAGAAGAAAAGAGATAATTAAAAGGCCTCGGCCCCAGCCGAAGAAGATTACCATCCCTAAACTTTCGGCTGAGGCCGACAGCTGCCAGCATATTCTCTTGGAAAACATAGTGCGTATCGGGGAGCCAAGTCTCCGGGATATGCTGCATTCGGCCGCTGCCTCCCCGGTTCGGCAGCTTGCCGAAGATGTTCTGCTGATTAAGGTTCGGGTCTGGCCCGCTATCTTCGGGAGGACCTAAACTTCCCATATCAGGATCCGGCTCGGCAAGATACCGGGGAGCGCTGAAAACGTAAGGGTGGCTCGGCTCCGTGGGTGCCCTAACCCAAATCCATTGACCTCTCCAGTCCTTGTCTGAAGAGTCGTTCGGCCACATGGTTAGGAACGGGGGCCGAGACTCAATCCGATACCACCCAGAACCATGGCTTCCGTGCCCACTCTGAATATTTGGCACTAGCCGATGGAGCTTTCTGAAGCAGTGCAGGTTCGGCACGTATCTGAAGAATTTGCAGACCCATAAGTACGTCATTACCCTTCGGATGCTGGTGGGGGTCAGCTGGCACAGGGAAATGTTGTAATGGATCAGCAAGTCTCGGACGAAAACGTCCAAAGGGAACCTCAGCCCATACTGAAGCTGTCTCGTGTACACCCCCACATACCCCGGGGGTGGACGATGGATTCTATCGGATGCTGAGGGCATTCGGCACCAATATCCATCAGCTTCAAAAATGCCGTAGTGCAACTCAATTTGCTCGGCAAATCGATATTGATCGGCGTTCTCTACCCACCATGAGTAGGGGCGGTTCTTTATCATGGCCGAAGCTACTTCGGCATCCTCCCACTCTGAAAACCCTGGGAGGATATCCCAAAGGACAGCGGGAACTTCATCATCCCGTCCTGAAGCGCTCACCCCCTCAGCCCTCTGAGGAGGAGCCGAAGAAATGGGAGTCGCCCTAACCCCTTCAGCAGGGTCAGACTCTGTCCTTCGTCCATTCCAGGTCCCAATCCTGTCCCTGGGATCGGGGATTAGCCTTGCTCTTCTTGGAGCACGGGCTCCACCTCTAACTCCCCTCACCATTGACGAATTTCGAAGGAAAAAGTCGAAAAAGGGGAAAGAGTGCAAAGTCGAAGAAAGATGAAATAAAATCAAAGGAATTTACCTTGATCTGAAGCAAAAGCCGCCGATTTACGAATTGGTAGTGACAAGTCTCAGCTTCTAAGCTTAATGCTCGGGGAATTTGCGAAGTTTTGATGCGGGCTCTTGAGCGTTCTTGAGAATTCTGGGTTTGTGTTGATGAGTGAGTGGGGAGAGAAGACGCGCCTCTATTTATATCTCCAGAAATGGGAATTCAAGGAGTCTGCGTTTCAATTTCTCTCAAGCACCCCACTAAGTAACCGTTAAACACACGACCTTGCAGTTAAATCGCCCACTACCCATCCAACTTCCGCAATTATCCACATTAACTGTTGTTATCTCATTAATCATGGGTTAATTACGGTTTAAATTCACATTTTTGGATTAACAAATCATTCACTTCCCTCCTTTTCTGATTAAATCAAACCCGACCCGTCATCCTTCCAAATCGGGTCTGGGGGGCAAGTTGTTTGGGTCCAATTTAGTCCAATTGGGCCTGGTCACTGAATGATCCAATTAAAAGCCCAAGGTTAAGGTTCAACTCTCCAAATGTGCTAAAGTCAAAAATCAACATCCTCAAAGCCATGTCAAGGTCAGTCAACGGCCCAATCAGCTTGGCCCAGCCCAACTGACTTCCGGGCCCAATCCGCCTCCTTCATTAGCCAAGGTATAAAAGCCAACAATTTGGTCAATTCTTGGTAAGACAATAAAGCCTCAAGCAACTAAACTCTTGCACAGCTTTCTCTCTCTAATATACTGACTTAAGCATCGGAGGGGCCTTCCTCGGCGTCCCCCCCGAGGCTAGTTTACGTGTATTTGTTGTGCAGGAAACCCTCGGCTCCTGCGTCGTTCGGACCGAGACCAAGTTCCCTCAAGATAAAAGGATCTTCCGAGATTCGATTGTTTTCATCCGAAACACTACTATTCCTCTATCTTTTATTCTTTCTTCATAATCTGCAGGAAGTTGAGGCTTTTTCACTTTGTCGGCTTCTATAAACACGTTGTTTGAATCCGCTTTTCGGAGCACCCAAATAAATTTCTCCCCACATCTTTCCAACCCTTTAGCCAACTCTTCGATCTGATCATCTGTTAATGATGTTGTCGAACCAAAAGACACGTATATCACCGAACCCTTCTCTTGTTCGTCTAGCCATTTAAGACACTGATTTCTGTTTTTGCGGCTTTCACTTCTAATTTCAACCGGATTTAAAGGTCCTAAGGCAAAGTACTTTATAGGATCCTTTGTCAAAGATAGCTTTTCAACTAATTCGACGTATCTTCCGTCAATTACTCTCGTGGAGTTGTAGAGCCAACCCGACTCGAAACCCAAATACTTAGATTGATTCACCACAAACTCTAACATCTCATTTGTAATGCATCCCTCTTGAGAAGGCATACATTCTGGAACATCATTTGGGTCTACTCGAAAGGGTTTCGCTTCCTCAGGTATGCCTTCCCATACACTAGTAAAATAGGTGAAAGCACATATAGGATTAAAATTATACGATTCACCGTTTGGAATAAGCTTAACATCTTGGACAACGTAAGCCATACTATAGTCGTGAATGACTACGACTCGATTATACTTGACCGAGAGTTGTTGCAAGAGATTTGACACGGGTTGTCGAAGATGCATGGAAGCCTCGAAAAGAGGTATCAAGTGTTGTGGGAAAGGGACCGAGAGGTCGGCATTTGGAGGTGTTGAATCATAAGGAGGAAGTTCGAAGTCATGGAAGTGAATTTTTGTTAAGCTTTGTGAGTCCCAACCATTGAGTCGGAGCTTAACTTGACGGTTGTGGGAGGCAGAGCCGGCGTAATGGACCGGGATTCCGTAGGTGGTGATGATATGCGAGAGGTGGAGGAGTTGGTTGAGATGGCCTTGTGCTGGTAGTGGTACCATCACCACTACTACTTTAGGATTTTTGTTATCCATTTTTGGTTGGCAAAACTTGGATGTTTTTATTAAGCCTTGTTTTTATGTATTTATATTCGTAATATGTTAACTTGCAGTGCGCACAAAGAAATTTACCGTGAGTATTATTAAATTAAACTGCGAAATTGCCCCTGAAGTAGCCTCAATTATATGAGTCAAAAGTTTAATTAGCGTTGCTTTATTTAATTTGGGTTTAATTTGCTAGTATAAAGTAATTCAACCACTTGTACACTAATGTTATCTGTAAGTAAGATTTTGTTGAGTAAATAATGTTATGCGAAAGTTAAGTTTACTTGAATAATTGTAATTTTGTATGACGCCTCAAATGGTAATTAAAATAATAAGATAGTGACCATTACAAATTAAAATTATTCATTCATGACAATAACTAAAGTTTAACGGTGATAATATTTTTTATTTCCTTTTAACCCTACGTGATTTGAGAGAATTTAAAAGGGGCTTTTATCGGATTCTACTATGAAAAACCTTAATTTTGTTGCTTTATACTTTCTCTGTTCCACAAATAATGCAATAAGGATGAAATTATGCATCTCAAATCATACTTAATATGTTAAATATCTATAATTATATAAATATAAAAATTATAAATAGTTGATATTGTGAAAGTATTTTACGAGACGAATCTAACAATACCCCACATGACTATATTTTACTTTACGCATAAATCATAATTTGTGGTCAAACAAGTATGATGAATAATGCAAAAATCTAATTGTTATATTACTAGAACGGAAGAAGTATAGGTTAGGTTTAATAATTTTTCCTTCTTCTGAGATAAACTTTATCCATCATTTAGGATGGCTTAAGGGTTGAAGAACCAGAACATCTAGATGAAGGATATAGTTCAATATCTAATACGGAACATTACCAAATCACAAAAGCGGTAATAAAGAGTACTACTTGCCTCTTGACTCCACCCTTAAAGAGTATTATAGGTAAGGTTTTTTATTTATTTATTTATTTATTTATTTTAGTTTATTTTTTTTTTAATAATTGAAAACAGATTTAATGTAGGCCCTGATCACTTCAACTTATTTTGGTTGCATTGAAATTATTTTTGCTGAATTAAAATATTTTTTTACTGAACTAAAATTATTTTCGATGAACTAAAATTATTTTTATTGATTTTCTATTATATTTCTTATTTAAAGTTACTGAATTAAACTGAACTGAAATTAATTGTACTGATCTGAAATTAATTTTACTGAAATGAAATTATTTATATTGAACTGAACTTATTTTTACTGAGTTGAAATTATTTATACTGAATATTATTTTCTTAAGGGAAAGTGAATAGGGCCTAGTCATTATCCTTAACAATTACCATTATTTAAGAGTAAAGATTTTTACCTATTTGTTATCTAAAACCTAATTAAGAAAAAATTTATTCATACCCTCTTCAGAAACAGAGTGTTAATTTTTGTTAAAGTGATTTTTTTTTTTATGATTAAATCATACAAATTAAAAGACAAAAGATGAAGGTTCAATAATTTCTATCCCCTCTCCTATTTTTTTTTTTTTTTTTTTTTCAATTCTGTGTACAATGTTTGTACTAAACGTCTCCTAACTCCTAAGAGTGTTATTCATTGTCATTTTGGTTTCAATAAATCTTGTGTAAGGCGGGTATACGTCAATTTTATTGTAAGACGGTCAGTTTGAGGGTAACTTTAATTATTTTTATGGTAATTTTAACCTCTTAAAGGGTAACTTTTGATTTATCGTTGGTTTGAATTCTATTTTAATGTGTAATTTCTTATAGATTCATGATTACATATTATAAAGGCTAATATGATTAGTCTAATACATAATACATTATAAGTTTTTTGTAAAATAAAATTTATTATTAGAAAAGTAGTAAGTTTTGTAGTATAAAGAGTACTTTAAATATTTTTAAAAAGATAATTTTAACCCGTATTACAATAAATTAACGTACATTCGCCTATTTTAAAATTTTTTGTTTTGGTTTTCATTTTTTTGATGGTGAAGTTTTGGAGGTTGGTTTTGGGATGTTTTTACATGTTGTACTTTATTATTTAACAAACACAAGTGTTTGTCTTTATGTTTGCCTAATGACCTCACTGAATACGTCATTTGCAATGTTACTTATCAGTTAGGCAAATTCCTAACAAGATCATGCCAAAATTTTGCTCTAAACTAGAAGAAGTTTCATTTGTATACATGCAACTGTCAATTGTAGGCTAGATCTGAATGCAGGGTGTCTATTCACTACTACTCGTATACAAAATAAGTTGAAGTATATACGAGTAGGTGAAACTAAGGATTCTCTTTTAAACTAAGTATATACAAAAAATCCATTTTTGTTTAATTTTTTTTTGATTTTCCTATTGATATAGATTATGACAATATAACTTCAATATATTTGACATGTATGTTATATCAAATTTTATTTATTAAATATAATTAATTTTTTATAAAATTATTAGATTTACCGTGCATGACACGGGCCTTATGCTAGTATATAATTAACAAAGACTTAGACCATGTTCACTTCACCTTACAAAAATAATATTCAGTAAAAATAATTTCAGTTCAATAAAAATTAGTAATTTTAGAGAAAAAATATAGTAGACAATCAGTAAAAATTATTTCAATTTAGCAGAAATAATTTTAGTTTTAGTAAAATTAATTTAAATTTAGCAAAAATAATATAAATTCAGTAAAAATAATTTCAGTTCAATAAAAATAAAGTAAAGTGAATAGGACATTAGCACGTGGCACACACACAATTAACTTTACCAATTAAATTATTATGATAATTTTGTTTTAATTAATTATAATTATTTTTGGATAGAATTGAATAACAGTAATTTTAAGATTAATAAATAAATGTACTTCGTATGTCATATCAATCTCTACATAATCGTTTAATTGGCAAAGTTAATTATTAGTTTTTATCCTTCATCGTTCTCACACAACGGAGTAAAAGAATCCTAGGGGTAAATTAGCATAGGTTTTCCAAACAGCATGTACATGAAAGGGTTCATTAATATTATCCTAAGGAGAAAGTATAATATACTCTCGTCCTATTTTAGTTTGTAATTGTTCTTTGTATATTTAGTTTTAATTTTCTATATTGTAAATTTCGTAATAATTACAGGTTCTATTATAACTAAAACCGACATTACCATTATTAAAAAAACAAAGCTAGAAACCATGCCTACGTGGACGTTATGCATAAAATCAATTTTTAAATCGACGCATATAAGAAATTAGTTTACGTTTTAGCATTATTTGCGGAAATCGCTCCATCTTGTAAACTTAGGACTTGTTTAACTTTTTAGTAGTTTTTTTTTTCTACTAAAAAATGAAAAAGAAAAAGGTGTTTCCACTTTTCTAGTTGTCAGTTTTCAAAATTATCATGATATAAATAAGTTTGACAAATTTTGATTCATTATATGACATATATCGTATGCTTCAGTGTTGATTTTAGGTTTTTTCTTATGGGAAAATTCAAGTTGATCTCTGAGACAAATTTGTAAATATATCTCCTCTCACAATATATTGTTTTTCTTTTATTTTTTAAATAATAAAAGTGACATATAAATCAAGACATAAAGTTGTGAGGGGAGATAAACTGGAATGTTAATCTCAAATATTAACCTGGGCTCCCTCTTTTTTTTAATTAATGTTTTCATTACTTTGTACTATAATTTATTTATTTTTTTAAAAAAATCGTTTTTAAAAATTTGATATATAAAATTTGTCTAATCTGTTTTGTAAATTTGTCACTAGGACAGTTTTTCTGGAATGGAGTACTAACATAACAAGCACTAGAAGGGGAAACTTGATGGGATTCTACATAGTGATGCACCATAAAAGATTAAAAGGTACTATACTCAAATTAAATCAAATCCATACTATACTCAAAATAAACTAACTAGATTGTAATTTCGAATGAAATGGGTTAGATTTGGAGCAAACCAACCCAAGAATAAAAGTGACAACATTTGATTTTAACACTTAAACTGATTAATTGAGATTAGTCTGACATGAACGAACATAACCTAAACTAAGAATACATGGAATCAATCCAAATTATTTAATTTATCAACTAATTAAATGGAATTGAACTAACAGAAGCATTCATGGCCAACTTGTATTACTAACCAAAATTTGGTGGATTATACAGTTCTGGAAATTTAATCATACTAAAAGAATCAAATTAAATGACCCCAAGTAAAGTATAGACTACAACGATTCAAACAAGGTTGATAGAAGATATAGCATTATCTAGAAATATGGGCAATGAAAGCATCCCTCTCTAAATAAGAAACACCATGTTCAACCACTGATGCTCTAACCGCTTTGCCTAATTCTTTAGCCCTTTTTCTCATCTCAATTCCTTTATCTGAAGCCATCAATGTTTTTACTGCATTCTTTATCCCACTCGACTTTACAATCTCACCGCGGCATTCCCAATCTCTCAATAATACACCAATTCTTAGTACATTGCTCACCAAAAATGAGTTCCTTGGTTGATCGGAATGCATAGGCCAGGCCAGAATCGGCACACCCATACTTATACTTTCCATACACGAATTCCATCCACAATGACTCATGAACCCGCCAACTGATGGATGAGCCAAGATTTCTAGCTGCGGCGCCCAATCTTTCACTACTATTCCTCTATCCTTTATTCTTTCTTCATAACCTGCAGGAAGTTGCGGCCTTTTCACTCTATTAGCTTCTGCAAAAACATCGTTTGGATCCGCTCTTCTGAGCACCCAAATAAACTTCTCCCCGCATCTTTCCAACCCGCTTGCCAACTCTTCGTTCTGATCATCTGTCAATGATGTTGTCGACCCAAAAGACACGTATATCACTGAACCATCCACTTGTTCGTCTAGCCATTTTAGGCAATCATTTCTGTTTTTGCCACATTCGCTTTTCACTACAACAGGATTAAACGGCCCTAAGGCATAATGCTTTACATTGTTTCCCATTGCTAAAGATAGCTTCTCCAACAATTCGACATATTTTCCGTCAATCACTCTCGAGGTGTTGTACAACCACCCTGATTCGAACCCTAAACATTTTGAGATATTCGCCAGAAATTCTAGCATCTCTTTTGAAATGCATCCCTCTTTAGAAGGCATACATTCTAGAATATCATTTGTTTCTACCTGAAACGGTTTCTCTTCCTCGGGTATGCTTTCCCATACGCTAGTGAAATAGGTAAAAGCACATATAGGAATAAAGTTATACGCTTCACCATTCGGAATGAGCTTAACATC